CAGTCTCTGCAGTCAGTGCTACCATGCAGGGACGGGGTGGACGCCACAGGATCTTAATGACACCCCTCTGCCTAACAGTGTCTTAGAAGAGTCAGGCTGGGCTGCCAGAGTAAGTAGCAAGATGGAAGATGGAAAGGACTTGAATTCGCTCCCCCAAACTTCCTGAGGTCTCTCTACTGGCCAGATCCTAACACTGGGTGGGCCCTGGGGACCCAGGGCCAGTCAGGTGGGGTCTGCTCCAAAGGAGTTCTCAGTCTGATGAGGAGACACCACAGAGGGTCGGGGGAGGGGTCAGAGAAGGTCCAGGGGGAATAAGCTGAGCAAAGTCAGGGTGTAAAACTGCAGAACCAAAGTCCCGCACTGCCTGTACCTAGGAAGGTCCCAGAAACCCAGCTGGACAGGCTGGAAGGGGAGGAGGCATTTCTGTCCTTCAAAGTACTGCTGGGAATGTGGGGCTTTATTTGGGGGCTCTCAGAAGACCATGGGAGGCTGAGACCAGGAGAGAGGAGCCCGCAGCTCTTGTGTGGAAAGACCCTGTGGAAGCCAGGTGTGGTAGTGAATACCTGTCATTCAGCACTTCAGAGGCTAAGACATGAGAGTGGAGAGTTCAAGACCAGCATAGGAAACTTAGTGAGACCCTGTCTCAAAATGAATAGTGAAAAAAGGAGGTGGGGATGTGGCTTAGTGATGTGCATTCCTAGAATCCACCAGTGAGGGTCAAGAGGCATGGCTCAGTGCAGCTAGTCAGCGTAGGTCAGGCTCTGGTATCCAAGGGGAAGGAGAGAGGAGAGGAAGAAGGAGGCAGGGAGGAGGGGAGCTTAGCTCTCTGGGGCTTTGTGTACAGGACAGACTACAGGAATACTAGACTTAAGGGGACCCAAGAGTCCCCATGGGAACCTGGATGGAGTCCTGCTCCGGGGCCATGGGGATGAGAGAGACCCAGGGTGCTATAGAACGATGCTGGGGTCTGCCAGTGCTGAAAGGAACAGAGGACCCTTCAGAGATAGGAACCAGGAAGGAGCGTGGGTGGAGGCTGCGGGAGATGGAAGGCAGGGCAGTAGAGGTAGGTTTCTTAGTCTAGCATAGTGCCCTGCCCCTGCCATCTCAGCAGTTAAGAGGCTGAGGCCGGAGGACCACGAGTTTGAGGTAAACCTGGGATATACAGAAGAAAGTGTGTCATATACAGGGATGCATTTCTGTCTGCAGGGATGGTGACAGGGACAGACGGATCCAGCCTCACCCCAATTTTTGTCATCCTCCCCGCCACCAGATCTCCAAGCCCAGGACCCTCCTCCACAATGTGGCTTCTCCTTGCTTTCATCTTGCTGGTGTCTGCAGGTGAGGGACACCAAAGTTGGGTACTGGTCTGATGAAATGGGGTGCCCCTTTTCCCAGAGTGTCTGGAACATGGGACCTGCTAGCCCATACTTCACCCAGAGACCCCTTTATGATCCTATCTGGACCCCACCTGAGCCACCTGCCAAATGTCCCTGAATCCTCAGTTCCTTGAACCTGAGTTCCAAGACCATTCCTTACTACTGTGTAGCCTTGGGGAGACCCTTTGACCTCTCTGGGCCTCAAGTGCTTCCTACCTGTGACAGTCACTGTGAAGTCCTAATCACATCATGTAGGTGATGTACAGGACAAGCAATCAGGCTGGTTGAGACACCAAGAGCATAGGATCTAGGTTTGAATCCCGTGGCCGCCCATTCCTCAACCCTGCAACTCAGGTTTCCCAGCCATGGGATGGAGGCAACTGTCCTCCATAAAAATTCAACGTGGTGCTCCATGAGGTGTGTGAGTATTATGGAACAGTTTGGACACTCCCGGCAGGGCACATAGCATTTGCACATAATGACCACGTGAGGTAGAGGGCTTGGGGAGATCCCCAGTCCCCTCGTGAAAAGCCTGCAAAATCCCAGAGCTGGGAGGAGGAGATGGGGGTCTCTGGGCTTACTGCCGTCCAGTCCAGCCAATCTGTAAGCTCTACGTTCAGTGAGAAAACCTGTCCCCCCAAATAAGCTCGAGACTGGTGAGGTGGTGCAGACGGTAATGCCGTCAAGCGTGAGTGGTTGAGTTCAGGACCCACATGGTGGAAGGAGATGAGCCACCCTTGCCCTCGTTTGCCAGGTGGAAAGCAGGGATGACCACTAAACCAAGGTCACTCCGGGTGACAGGCCAACTCCAGACCAACCTCTGCCACTTCTTGTGGGAATTTCCAGTGTAACCTGATGCTTCCTGCCCTGGAGAAATGGGAGGGGGTGTCCGTTAACGATCCCCTGCTCCCCACCTGACCTCTGCCCGGGGCTCTCAGCCCTCCCCCATGGCAGGCCAGCTTCCCCTTGGGCTCTCCCTGTGCTCTGCCTGCTGTTGCTGCACCCAGCTGGGGCCTCCGCCCTCCTCCAGCTGGGACTGGCCAGGTGCAGCCCGATGCCCAGCTGTTCAGCCGGTGCCCTCCTCGGCAGGGTGACCTCACCCTTCCTCTGTTAAGCCCCTCTTCTGCCACATCCGCATTCCCTTTGGCCCTGTTCCTGACCTTGGAGGACAGAGGGCAGAGTGTGGACATTGGCTTGGTTGTCACACAGCCCAGGAGTTGGGTGTCTGTCATGGTCTTGACCTTGGAGGAGTGGGACAACCACATCATTCAGTATAAGGAACTGTGGCCTCGAATGTCCCAATTATGTCATTACATGTGATGCCATCCTCCCTCTCTCTCTCTCTCTCCCCACTTTGGGTGTGTGTGTGTGTGTGTGTGTGTGTGTGTGCGTGCGTGCGTGCGTGCGTGCGTGCGTGCGTGCGTGCGTGCGTGTGTGTGTGTGTGTGTGTGTGTGTGTCCAGAAGCATGAGCCAGGTCCCCCCTTTCCAAGAGTGACCTTAAACATTAGAGATCCTATTTTCTCTGTCTCTCCTGCTAGTATCTTTGACCTTGAAATCTCAGCTCTGTATCTGGCGGCTCTGAATGTGGTCTAGGTTAGTGGGCACTGTTCATGTCTGAGTATTCATCATGTAGATGGGTATCTGGGTCTCTGAGTGCTACAGAATGGCTTGTGTGTAAAGCACATCTTTACATTGTGTACACATGCATGTGGATGCCCAGGTCAGTATCAGCTCACTCCTCAGGCAATTCTGCCTTGTTTTATTTCATTATTTTATGTGTAGGAGTGTTTTGTCTCCAGTCCCACCTTGGTTTTTTACACAGACTTTGTCAATGGCCAAATGCTCACTGATTAGGCCATGCTGGCCGGCCAGAGAGCTCCAGGATCCAGCTGACTTCAGGCACTGGAGTAATAAGCACGCACCACCATGCCTGACTTTTTACCTCGATGCTAAGGATTAAACATGGGTCCTTGGGCTCCCAAGGCAAGGATTTACCAACTGAGTCATGTCCCAGCCTTTAAACTGTAGTTTTGCTGTTAGCTGTTGTAACTAGGTCTGTGCAGATGTCTGCCATGCTTTGGCCTTACCTGCGTCACCAACCTGAACATCCACATGGACACCCCTGTAAATAAATGGGTGTCCTTCGTTTAAAGTAACAAATGCACATGACTATAATCCCAGAACCTGAAGACTTAAGAGAGAAGGCTGCCATGAGTTCAGACCAGCCTGGTTACATTGTAAGTTTCAAGCCAGGCTGTGCAACAGAGTGAGACCCTGCCTCAAAACACCCAAGAAATAAATCAATTGTGTTGCAAGGAGTTACAATGTACCAGGTACAATTCATACACGGGCACACACAAAGGCACCCATAGACCCCGCTTACCTTCATGGCCATCCCCACAGTTTTACAGCTGAGAAGAGCAAGCACCAAGAGATCAGCGTCTGCCTGGGGAGAGGGCTCGGTCAGTAAGCTGCTTCCTTGAGGACCCGAGTCTGCCCCTAGAACCTGTGTCACAGCCGTGTGTGTAAGGCGGCACTGGAGGGGGTGGGGGGAGATCAGTGGGCTCCTGGGGCTCACTGGCCAGCAGGCCTGGCAAAGTCAGGGAGCCCCAGGTTCAGTGAGAGTAATCCAGTCTCAGTAATCAAGGCGTTCATGCCTGAAGAAAGACACTGGAGACTGTCCTCTGGCCCACATGCACGTGTGTGCAGCCATGCATGCACAGACATGCAAACACAGGAGTCAACGCCTCATGGCAAGTACAGGCAGCAACCGTCACAACTGGAACACACGGCTCCAAGACAAGTGTGTGTGTGTGCGTGTGCAAACAAGTGTGCATGTGCATGTGTGCGTGTGCGTGTGCGTGTGTGTGTGTGTGTGTGTGTGTGTGTGAGAGAGAGAGAGAGAGAGAGAGGATCTAGAGTTAGTTAGCTGTGAGCCACCGTGTTGGTGCTAAGATCTGAACCCAGGTCCTCTGCGAGAGCAGTATGAGCTCTTAACTACCGAGCCATCTCTCCGGCCCTCCATCTTGTCTTTCTCTTCTTTTCTTTGAGACAGAGTCTCTCACAAACTAATCATCAAGCCCTGGGATCAACCTCTCTCCCCTCCCCCAACCCCAGCCCTGGGGTTACAGGCATGTGGGACCACACCTGGCTTTTTATGTGGGTGTCCAAACTCAGTTCCTCATGCAGCAAACACTTTACCCAAGGGGCTCTCCTCAGCCCTAAGCATAGATATATTTCCATCCTTCCTTTCCTTCTTTCTTTCTTTCTTTCTTTCTTTCTTTCTTTCTTTCTTTCTTTCTTTCTTTCTTTCTTTCTTTCTTTCTTTCTTTCTTATTTTCTTTTTGAGACAGAGGTTCTCTGTGTAGCCCTGGTTGCTCTGGAATTCACTCTGTAGAGCAGGCTGGCCTCGAACTCGGAGATCCATCTGCCCCTGCCTCGGGAGTACTTTTCTTCTCTCTCTCTCTCTCTCTCTCTCTCTCTCTCTCTCTCTCTCTCTCTTAAAGAAGTGGTTTCTTAACGAACAAAGGGAGGGCCTGGGTGAAACCTATAGAGAAAATAGGGTAAGGGGGGGCGCCGGATAGGGATGCTGAAAAAGGCGGGGCTCACGGAGAGATCCGCCCATGTCTCCCGCAGCTCAGGATGGTGACAAGGTGCTGAAAGGCGAGGAGTGTGCGCCTCATTCGCAGCCGTGGCAAGTGGCCCTCTACGAGCGTGGCCGTTTCAACTGTGGCGCTTTCCTAATCTCCCCACGCTGGGTGTTGACTGCTGCCCACTGCCAAACCCGGTACAAAGGCAGGGGATGCGGGTCCTGCGGGGTGTGGCTGTGACTGGGGACGGCTGGGTTTGCGGTACATGGACTGTTGGGTACGTGGGGAAGTAACGTGGGGAAGTAACGCAAGTCTTGGTTTCTGAGGACTGGGAGGCTGGAGGCTCAGGCCCTGGGTGAGAAGGGGTGTGGATTCTGCCACCGTAGATTCCTAAAGGGGAAAGGAGGAGGCTGCAAACGTCCCATCTTTTGGGCCCCTGCTGCGAGAGGGGTCTAGTGGGTGAGAATTTCTATTCTGAAGAAGGAAAGGCGCCAAACCTGGGACCGAGTTCCACGTGTGTACCTGACTTGGGACTCCTGGCTTTGTTTATCTGCTCGTTTTTTTGAGAAAGTCTCACTGTGTAGCCCAGGCTGGTTCAAAACTTAGAAAAATTCACCTGCCTCTGCCTCCCAACTGTTGGGGTTAAAGACATGTGCCACCACACCCTGCAACTCCAGGGCCATGGCTGGAACCACTGGTTTGAAGGACCTGAGAAAAGGAAATGAGATTTTTAAGGTTCTCAACGGGTCAGAAAATGGCAGGTTGTCGACTCTTTGACCCCTTTGTCTGCTCCTTTCGGGTAACGACTCACCCGCCCAGTTTCATGCGAGTGCGCCTTGGCGAACACAACCTTCGCAAGCGTGATGGTCCAGAGCAAGTGCGAGCCGTTTCTCACATCATCCCACATCCCGGCTACGAGGCTCGCACCCACCTGCACGACATTATGTTGTTGCGGCTTCTCCAGCCTGTCCGGCTCTCATCTCAGGTGCGCCCTGTGCCTCTGCCCACGCGTTGCCCCTTTGCCGGCGAGGGCTGTGTGGTGTCAGGCTGGGGCCTGCTATCAGACAACAAGCCTGGAGCCACAGGGAGCCGCAAGTCACAAGGTGCGTGGAAGGATGGCGCTGGATCTAGGAATTCCAGCAACGCTGTCCTCCGGGGCTCTTGGGTGGAGGGCACAGGGACCAAAGGGAGTGAACATATTCAAAGCCATCTGTCCTCCTCAGTGAGACTCCCGGATGCATTGCATTGTGCCAACATCAGCATTATCTCCGAGGCATCTTGCAACAAGGACTACCCTGGTCGAGTGTTGCCCACCATGGTGTGTGCTGGTGTAGAGGGCGGCGGCACGGACTCCTGTGAGGTCAGAGCCAAGGGGGGACTTTGGGTGAACGTGGGGAATAAGATGGATGTATCCTAGCTTGCTTTTCTGTTGCTGTGATAAAATACTCGGACCAAAAGCAACTTGGGGGGAAAGAGTTTATTCAGCTCTCAAGCTCACAGTCCATCACTGAGGAAAGGCAGGGCGGGAACTCAAGTGTGAGCCTGAAGCAGAAACCACAGAAGAATGCTGCTTACTGGCTTGCCCACCTGCTCCTGTTGAGCTGGCTTTCTCTTTCTTCCTTCCTTCCTTCCTTCCTTCCTTCCTTCCTTCCTTCCTTCCTTCCTTCCTTCCTTCCTTCCTTTCTTTTCCCTTCCTTCCTTCCTTTCTTTTTTTATGTGTATGAGTGTTTTGCCTGCATGTATATCTGTGCACCACATGTGTGTGGTGCACATGGAGACCAGAAGAGGGCCTTGGGATTAAAATTACAGACAATTGTGAACTGCCTTGTGGGTGCTGGGAATCAAAGCTAGGTCCTATGCAAGAGCAGCCAGCGATCTTAACTGCTGAGCCATCTCTCCATGTCCTCAGCTCTATTTCTTATACAACCAAGGCCCTTTCCCTAAGGGGATGGTGCCACTCACAGTGAGCTGGATCCTCCCGTACTGAACAACAGTGAAGACAACTTCCCACAGACATGCTCTGGGCAACCTCTCAATTGAGACTCCTCAGATGATTCTAAGCTGTGTCAAGTTAGAAGCTAATTAAGACAGAATAGAACAAGTAGGATATTGTTAGAATTTTCTTTGCTTTGGGCCAGAGAAAATGTTAAGTTCAGGTATGGGATAGATTTCCAGGAGCAGTTAGAATCATAGTGAGATTGGAAATGGTCTGGGAAGCTAAGAAGGGGAATGAGCTTGGTTTGACTCAGGACGGGAAGCATGTTGTGGTTGGCAGGGGATGGCATGGGTTTGGGGGAGGGTGGAGAAGCTGTAAAGATCGGGATTGGGTTGTTTGGTGAGCACAGGTCTAGTTTGATGTTGAATGGGGAAGGTGTGTGGATTGGATGGAATCTGACTTGAACTTAGTGCTGTAGGGCTGGGGATATGAGACAGAGCTGAACTCGGCGGGGGCGGGGGAGGTGAGCTCTCTTGGGTTGTGTTGAATCAGAGTAGGCTTAGATTGGTTTGGGGTGATACTGGAGTTTCCCAGGGTGAGGTTGGTTTGGGGTTTCACTGAGATGAAGAATAGTGGTTAGTTAGAACAAGGTTGACAGTGGGGTGGGGTTGTAACTCGGTTGGTAACGTCATAGCATGCACAAGGCCTGGCTTCCACCTCCAGCACCATGGGTACCCGACATGGCAGTGCACACCTGTCATCCCAGCACTTGGGAGGTTGAGGCAAGAGGGTGAGGTGTTCATCCTCTCTCTACATGGAATGAAACACTGAGGAAAACCTCCTTTTTCCCCACAGGGTGACTCTGGAGGACCCTTGGTCTGTAGCGGTGCCGTGCAGGGCATCGTATCCTGGGGTGATGTCCCCTGCGATACTACCACCAAGCCTGGCGTCTACACCAAAGTCTGCAGCTACACGGAGTGGATCCGGGAAAACATGAAAACAAGAAACTGACTGTTGGTGCACCACCTAGGTCCCTCACTAACCACCTGGGACCCTGACCAAGAATTCCCCATAGCCGGCCAGCAGCCCCATTCCTACCGGAGACAGAGCTGAGTCCTCCTTCCCATTGACATACACTGCTAGCCAGGGCCCCACCCCTCCCGAGGTCACCTGCCTAACACCAAGAAAACAGTGTTTCCCCAACACTCTCGCGGCAGAAGCAGGCAGATCTCTGAGCTTAAGGCCAGCTTGGTCTAAAACGTGAGTTCCAGGATAGCCAGAGCTACACAGAGAAATCCTGACTCGGGAAAAAGAAAAAGAAAAAAAGAATGAAAGAAAGAAAGAAAGAAGGAAGGAAGGAAGGAAGGAAGGAAGGAAGGAAGGAAGGAAGGAAGGAAGGAAGGGAGATAGTGTTGATCCAACTTTCTCTGTAGGGATGTGACTTTCTTTCTTTAGGGTATGATGGGAAATGGGTGAGGGACTAGGATACAAAATCTACTATTCCCTGTCACCTAGGGTCCCTTTCCCTGGGCTAGGGAACATGGTTTCAGGTATGACTTTGCTCATTTAGATCAGATATGAATGTTGGATCAGGGGCCTGACCCCACTCATTCTTGGTTTTACCATCTGTGAAATGGATCACCATAACACTTGTCTCCTAGGGTGTCTGCAAATATTAAATGAGTCATTCATCTTAATGGATCAGAACAGTGTCTGCCACTTTGTCCACACTCATGAACTGTACATCCCAGTGAGAGAACCCAATACACACTAGATTTCCAAGAGTCACCATTAGTTCTAGGCTTCCTGGCGACCAAGACAATGAGGCCAGCATTCTCTTTTCCTTGGCCACACTGATGACATACAGTACAGGCTCGTGAGCTGCCTTGCTGACTGTATCCAGGTCTCACGTTTGAAAACTCTGGCTTTACCATCAAGGCTATAGGAGTCCAGTTTCTGATTCTTTTCAGAGACCCCCAAAATGTGGTTCTTGGGGTCACTGAATGTTGAAGCCCTTGCTCTTGGTCATTGAAACTGATAGATTCTTAGATTGAGTGAGGGGTTGTCGTTGCAACTTCTGATGATATTATTTTTATTTCACATATTTATTCATGGGTGTTCAGAGATCAGAGAACATATTCTAAGAGCTGGCTTTCTTCTCCCACCATTGGGGTTGAATTCAAAAGCTGTCGGGCTTGGTAGTGAACATCTTATCCACTGAGCCATCACGCCAGCCTCAGAATATTTTCATTTATTTATTTACTGCTCATGTTAGCCGAGGATGACCTTGAACTTCTGGTCCTCCTGCCTCCATACCCCACACGCTGGTTTTACAGGCATGCACCACCAGACCTGGTTTTACACAGCACTGTGGCTCGAACCCAGGGCCTCATGCATGCTAGGCAATCACCCCACCAACTGGCCTACGTTCCCAGTTCCGACCAACTCCCACACACACTTCTTTTGGAAGTCAGGGTCTCACAAAGCTCAGACTGACCTAGAACTAGCTCTGTAGCTGAGCTACCTTAAACTCCTGATCCTCCTCCTGCCTCCACTTCCCAGACTCTATGGTGATAATCTTGACTGGGGAAGGTCGTTAGTTCAAATCTTTGGGACTTTGAGGACATGACTTTGAGTACCTTTATCTAGGAAACAAGGAATAGAAAGGTCATTGAGACCCCAACACAGTTGGGGTGGGTGACACTCCCCTGGGATAACCTGAATTCTCATATTCTTGGATCAAAGAGTGATCAGATATAGTAATGTGCAGTCTAACTTCCATTATTTTTATTTTATTTTATTGATTTGTTTTTGAAACAGCTCTCTATGTAGCCCTGGCTGTCCTGGAACTCACTCTGTAGACCAGGCTGGCCTCGAACTCACAGGGGTCCACCTGCCTCTGCCTCCCAAGTACTAGGATTAAAAGTGTACACCACCATGCCTGCTCCCAAACTTCTAACAAGAGCACTAAAATCAGTGATCTAGATTCCAAGTCTAAGAAGGTAAGAATTCTAACATTCTCAAAATCAGGATCTGTGCTTGCGAGGGGCTTGGGGCCCCCGGCTACCACTGTACCAGGAATTTGTTTTAACTGCTGGTTTCTGAGGGCATGCTGGGCCCTGAGGCACAGGACCTTCCTTAGAGCTGTGTGGTGGGGGCCCCCTGCTCCCCCACCCTCCTATTGCACCCTTCATCACCACCACCCGACCTTGCTATTCTGGCTATGGCCCCCAGATCGCGCACAGCTCCAGGAGCGGCAGGCCCTGTCCCACCCAGTCTCAGCCCGGGAAGGCGTCCAGGGTGACCTAGAGCCTGCAAGACAGCAGGTGCCACAGGTCCCTCCCTCCCACAGCTGTGGGGGTGAGTGGGGAGTCCACCTCCGTCAGCAAGGGCAGGGCCTTGGCCAGCATCTGGGTGCCAACAGGGCAGGGGCGGGGCTGGGGGGGGGGGAGAATAAGGGTTTTTAAAGGCTCCCTGAGGAGGTTCCTCAGCTCCAAGCTCACCGTCTGCTGCTCCTGGACCGCTGTTACCATGTGGTTCCTGATCCTGTTCCTGGCCCTGGCCCTGGGAGGGACTGGTGAGACAGTGATGGGAAGCGGGAGGGGCCAGAGCCCTGACTCTCATGCTGCCTTTAGCCCTGGAAATCCCTTTCCCCTTTCCCCTCACCCCAGCAGGCCCGCACCTCCCCCCTCCCCGCCCCTGCATGCTTACAGTCCTCAGTCCCATATCAGGCCCTGTTCCTTCACACTTTCCAGAACTTTCTCTTCCTCCCTAGCCACCTGATCATCTCTGGGTCTTTCCAAAGGAACTTAGCCCCTTGCAGCCCTTGGGATCTTGGTTGCCCCTCCAGTTTGCTGTTTTTCTAGAGCCCGATAGTCCAACTCCTGAGTTAGGGGCTAACTTGGGCTGTCCAGCAGCTGCCAGCCTCCAGCTGTGTCCTCCAGCTGACAGCTGGTCTCCCATCCTCTCAAGTGCCTCAGTTTTTACCAACAGTCTTAGCTTGTGACACTTAGCTGGTTTGGGGGATCTGCCCATGTCCCTTCTCACTGGGTTTGTTTGTTTGTTTGTGGGATCTGTTTTGGGAGGAGGAGTCGGTGGTGAAAGCCAGCGATGGATGCCGAGTGTCTTCCTCCACCTTACCACCTTATTTTTGAGGCGGGGTCTCTCACTGAATGAAGTGCTCCCCTCTTAGCTAGGTTGGCTGGCCAGCAAGCCTGGGGGATCCTGCTGTTCCCACCTCCCCAGCTCTGGGGTTTCAGAGCTCAGGTCCTAATGCTTGCGTGGCCAATACTGTAGCAACCAAGCCAATTCCCCAACTCTCGGGAATAACTTGTGAAACAGGGTCTCATTATGTAGCCCAGGCTTGCCTCAAGCCCATGGCAATCCTCTGCCTCAGCCTTCTGTGTGCTGAGATTACAGATAAGAGCCACCCACCATGCCTGGGCTCCCTTTCCTCTGTTCCTAAATACCATGTTCCTAAATACTGATCTTCCCTCCCACGCATGCCCCCCACCCCCAACCACAGGCTCCTGATTGACTTCTTGCTCCTCACCGGCTCCTGTTCCCTCCCGACTGAGTCCCACTGCACAGATCCGGTTTCCACTCTGCCCAGGACTTCCCAAAGACCCCACCCAATACCTGAACCTAGTACCCCATAGCAAGTGGGTCCTCCCCTCCACTCCTGTCCCAAGGCTGCCTCTGAACCTCTCCAGTGTCCCCAGACCACTAGCCCCACCCCACGAGAAGCAGAGCCCTCCCCACATGGCCCAGCATTTCCTTCTCTCACTCTCTGACCCACCCCAAACTCTGTTCTCAGGGAGTTCCACCCCTCTCAGATACCATCCCCACCGCAACCCTAACAGGAGCCCACCCCTAGCCTTAACCCTACCCTTCGACCTGGGAACCCCCTCATTCTCCCCCAGCCCAGCTGGCCACTTCCTGTCCAATCCAGGAACCCCCAAATCATCTTGGGCTCCCTTTCCTGGGAGCCTCCACTCTCATAGGCCCTGACTTCTCAAGCCTTGGAGACTGTAAATACCAAACCTTCTTGACCTCTGATTCCACTCTCATTGGACTAAGAACCACTGGCCTCTAGAATCCCACCTCTCTCTCTCTCTCTCTCTCTCTCTCTCTCTCTCTCTCTCTATCTATCTATCTATCTATCTATCTATCTATCTATCTCTCTCTCTCTCGCAACATTGCCCTGCCAGCCCTTAGCCCAAAGTTCTAAGTGACCTGACACCATGCCTGATTCTTGCTCCAGACGCCAGGAGCTAGGCTATTTCTATCCCCAGAGCAGCCGAGATCTCCCTATCCGGGGCCAGCCACCTATGGGTCCCTTCCCCCAGGTCACCTGGCCGGTGATCCCAGGCCTGGTCAATTGTGCCCCCCCAACAGCACACCTCCCTCTCTGAGCCAAACCCCCCCCCCCCGGCTGTGTTGCAGGTGCTGCGCCTCCCATGCAATCTCGGATCATCGGAGGATCTAACTGTGAGAAGAACTCCCAGCCCTGGCAGGCGGCTGTGTACCACTACACCGCTTTCCAATGCGGGGGCATTCTGGTGGACCCCAGCTGGGTGCTCACGGCCGCCCACTGCTACAATGAGTGAGCAGGGCTGGGGACAAGGAAGCAGGGTGGAAGCCAGGCCAAGCTGGGGTGCCGAAGGGCAGGAGGATGGGATGGGCTGAAGGTTGAGAGGAAAGAGGCAAGGCAGAGCTAGGCCCCTCTGTCCATGACCTCCTGGCTCTCTCTATGCCCCCTCCAGGCTTGTGTTTGATTCCGTTTCTTTCTTTTCTGTCTTATCGTCCATGTGTTTCTTGTCTGTATTCACAGCTGAATGTCTCTGGGGCCATCTGTTGCTATACATCTCCCCCTCCGGGGCTCTGCCTAGCCCTCTCTGGGTCTGGGTCTCACTTGTCCTTCTCCATCACTACTGACCCTACTGGGGAACAAGCCTAAGGGGCTCCCTGAGGATAAGCAGCGACGTCCCTGAATATAGACGTGAGGGAAGTCCTCCCTCTCCCCAGACCAGCTCGGCCCTCAGGGCCTTCTGTCCACTCTGAGGACACACAGAGAAGGTCTGGTCTGAGCTGGAGCTGGATAAGGGCAACTGCGTACAGAGGGAGGGCAGGGTGCTGGGGTGGAGGACTCGGGCCTTGGGCTGTGGGCCAGGCCTGCCTTCTGGGGAAGCTCAGCCCAGCCGCACAGCAGCTGAGCAGCTCTCACTCCTCCCTTCTCCCTGCCCCCTCCCCCTGTGTTCTGTCTGTCCGTCCGTCCGTCTCTCTTTCCTCCCCCCTCCTTCCCTCTCCCTTTCCCTCCCTCCCCTGCACTCTGCCCACTCTCCCTGCCTCTCTCCTCTCATTCCTCCATCCCTCTCCCTGCCCCAGCGAGTACCAGGTTTGGCTGGGCCGCAACAACCTCTTTGAGGATGAAGCCTCAGCTCAACACCGGTTTGTCAGTAAAAGCTTCCTTCACCCTGACTTCAACCTGGACCTCCTGAAGAACACCACCCAAAACCAGGAGAAAGACTTCAGCAATGACCTGATGCTGCTTCGCCTGGCCCAGCCCGCTGAAATCACCGATTCTGTGAAGGTCATCAGCCTGCCCTCCGAGGAACCCACGCTGGGGAGCACCTGCCTTGCCTCAGGCTGGGGCAGCACTGAACCCATCAATTGTAAGTCTGGGCCAAACCACACAGCCTGGAGAGGGACACCTGGGTCTGAAGGAGAAGAGAACAGGGCTAGGCTCTGCTCACCACCCTCTTGCCCCTGACCCACAGTCGAATACCCGGATGACCTCCAATGCGTGGACCTCGAGCTCCTGCCTAATGAGAACTGTGCCGAAGCCCACATCTATCTGGTGACAGACTCCATGCTGTGTGCAGGAGACATGGAAGGAGGAAAAGACACTTGTGTGGTGAGTGGGCTCCTCCCTGCAATGTGGGGAAGGGCTGACAGAGGGACCTCGGAGTCTTGATTCCCACTCCAACGCCCAGCCAGGCAGGTGCTTCTCACCCTTCCCTACGGAAGTGATGAGCTCCGGGAGGGGGGAGTCCTGGAGCTGGCACTACTTCACTTTGACTTGACTTCAGCAACTTCCTGTCCGCCCCCCACTCTAACCTCATGTCCCTGCAAGAGCAGGACCCCCAAGAGCTGGAGTCAGTCTCAGGTTGTCAAAGCAGAACCCAGTTGCCAGGCCCTTCCTCATGCCTACCACTCTCCTGCTTTCAGGGTGACTCAGGGGGCCCACTGATATGTGACGGTGTACTCCAGGGTGTCACGTCATGGGGCCCTGCCCCATGTGGCGAACCCAAGAAGCCGGGCATCTACACTAAAGTTATTGATTTCATTCCCTGGATGAAAGAAGTTATGGAGGAAAACTCTGAGTGACACACTGTCCCCTGCTCCTAATAAAACCCACCATGCAGCAAATGAGCTCGAGTTCTGACATTCTCTGGCCTTCTGGAGTCGGGTTTAAGTCAAGGCCCAACCAGCTGAGGTCAGGACTTCCCCAGTGGATCTCAAGTTTGCGGCAAGGGACAGGTGTACATGTACAGGTGGCCACAGGGATGGGTCTGAGACAAGTGCAGACAAAAGACTCAGACCAAGTCAGAGATGCCACCTGAGTCCACCCTGGCAAGGAAAAGGCTCAGATCTCAAATGCAAAGTTAGAGATGTCAGGAAAGTCGGCTCCAGCTAGGCTTGACCCTAGCTGGAGAGATAACAAGCAGTCTGACACTGAGAATTTTGGACTGCCGACCTGGTTTTATTGAGTCGGGGAAGCTAGGAAGGGGGCGGGATGTTGTATCAAGCCTTGACTTTCTGGGGAGGGTTCCGTCCACAGAAGGGTGGGGACCGTCCCCAAGGCTGGGCTGCAGAGTGTCCGCCTGGGGCCCCTGGAGGGGATTCCTTGGGTGGGTGGGGCTGGACCAAAGGTAGGAGAGCAGCTTAGGGGCGTGGCCTGTGGGGCGATCATCCCACCGCGCTCTGGCTGCTTGGGACCAGGGACCAGGCTGCTCAGAGGGACATAGCCACAGCCGAAAGTATTGGAGGACTTCCAGAGTGGTTTCCTCGCCAAGACTCAGACCGCAAGGGGTGGGTCCTTGCGCGGGGGAGCGGGGCTTGCCACCTGTCTCCCGAGGGTGCTGCCCGCTCTCATGGGAAGCGTGTAACCTCAAGGGAGGTCTGATGGTGACGGAGTCACAGGGACAGAGGTGGAGGCATCTGGCTGCCGGGACTTCGCAGTGTCCTGAGAAGTTGCAGCAGACTGCTTCTGGATGGACTCCGAGCTCTGGTCCAAATTGGACTGCTGCTGGGATTGGTGTCTCAAGGCCCAACGGAAGTAGCTGACCCTCCGCTCCATGATAGGCGAACTGTAGCTCCCCCTCCGCACTTGGTTGAGGAAGGATAGAGTTCCTATGAGGAGGGACCCGGTGGATATTCGACTCTGAGCCCCACACCAGGCCCCACCCTGGCCGTGGAGGCTGGCCTCCTTTCCTGGGCTCCGCCCTTGCCCTGCCCAAGCCCCACCGTTCCGTCCAAGGCCCCTCACCGGCCCACAGCATCAGGACGCTGGCGCACCAGCACAGGTAGAAGACCAGCAGGTAGGATACCTGTGGCCTCAGGGGCAGCCTATTGCAGTTGATGACAAAGAGCATCAGGCTGAGGAGAATCAGGAGCCCTGCGTCGGGATGGGGCCAGAGAAGGGCAGGAAGCTAGACAGGGGACCCCTCCCAGGAAGAGGACAGACACAAAGACAACCTCCCTGACCTGCCACACTAAGTAGACACACATTTGTACACACACACACACACACACACACACACACACACACACGACAAATTGAAACATACTTGGAGAGAGGGAAAGGGAAAAGGGGAAACAAAGCCATCAGCCATGACTGGTGTGCATAGGCCCTTAATCCTAGCTATCCAGGGTGCTGAGGCAAGAGAATTATATATATATATTCATTCAAGGCCATCATGGACTACAGATGAGTCAAGGCCAGCCTGAGCTACGAGAAAGCCCAAGACAGACACAGAGATACCCCTGTCCCCCAGAGCAACAGAATTGGAAGTCTAGCCACACCTCTGGGCAGAAGGAGGCTGTGAGGCGGGGTGGGGGCTCCCCAAGCATCCCTGTCCTCACCGACACTTACCGATGCCAGTGCTGAAGAAACTGAAGATGTAGTCAATCTTGTTCAAGCGGCGGCAGACTGGTCGGAAGGAGAGGAACATGGTGGGCAGGAGAATGAGGCACAGTGCCAGGGCCAGAAACATGAAGCCCTTGCTCATGTGAATGTAAACTGGGGAGGAGAGATGGAGAGACAGCCACAGTTAGCCCAGGTACACGCGCGCGCGCGCACACACACACACACACACACACACACACACACACACACACACGAACAACGCGTATACATTCTCTCTCTCTCTCTCTCTCTCTCTCTCTCTCTCTCTCTCTCTCTCACACACACACACACACATCATTCCCTCTCACACCATAAGGAGCCCCATGAATCTGTAAATTACCCCCAATACAGGGTCTGGTGGCGCACATTGTCATCCTAGGTACTCCGGTGGCTGGGGAGGAGTGCCGTTTCAACACCTGCCTGAGCAGTTTAGTGAGACCTAGACCTTATCTGTCTCAAAACACAAAGTAAAAGAAGTCTAGGGGTTCTGAGGATGTTGCGTCATTGGTGGAATGCTTGCCTAGCATGTTCGAAGCCCTGCATTCCATCCCCAGCACTGTGGTAAACTGGGTGCTGGTGGCACTTACCTGTAATTCCAACACTTGGGAGGAGGATCCGAAATTCAAGGTTATCCACAGCTACACATTGAGTTGGAGGCTAGCCAGGGCTACATGAGACCCCGTCTCAAACAAGACAGATGATGAGAAGTAGCTCAGCACCTGTCTGGAATCTCTCAGTGAGCAGCGGGGGCATGGCTCAGTAGTAGAACCCCTGTGGAGTGTGTGCAAGGCCCTGGGTTCTAGCTTCAGCACCCCCAAAAAATGAAAATGAAAAATCACTACTTCCACTCACATCACCAAAATCACTTCCTGGAAATTCTAAAACAACTCTACTGCCACTCAGAGTTACCCTCCAGCAACAACGACGCTCCCACATGAGCCCTAAGCTACTCCCCCAGGGAGACTCCTGACCCATGAGTAAGACCCACAGCCTATGCGACTGACCAGTGACTTGGCCCGCGTTGGCACACTTGTGCCTCCTGCAGTCAATCCAGAGGCCGATGAAGCCAGTGTACGGACCTTGCACATAGGCCATCTGCCCATCCACCATGCTGAACACCAACAAGGTTGCCAGGGAGATGAAGACGAGGGACCAGCCACGCAGGACCAACTTTCGGTCCTCCTCCCAGGAACAGAACAGGTCACCTGGGGAGGGAGAAAGTTCTGGGGACCTGGGTCTTCCTCCACTACCTCGATGCATACCAACCTCTAGCCTCATCCCACTTTCCCTTCAGCCTCCCACCTCCCACCACCTCCTGTGGAAGCTGTTCCCAGTTCACCTCCAACACCACTTCAACTCCTTCCATTCACACTGGCCTCTTTGGATGCATTACTACCCCGTGCTAACCCCAACTCAACGCCGGACCACCACACATTCACCAAGTCCCACCTCAAGTCCGCTCCCCTGTTCCTTGTGTGTCTCCAAGGGGCTTCTCCTACCTCCAAGAGCTGCCCGACCCAGGGGCCTCAATGCAGCCGCGTGCCTGCCCTTGGGACAATTTCATGGGTTTGGATTTGGGTTTTGCGACAAGGTTTCGTGTTGCCCAAGCTGGCTTCTAACCCACTAGAGAGCCAAGGACCACCCTGAACTCCTGATCCTTCTTCCTCCACCACCCAAGTACTAGGATAGCAGGTGTGCACCAACCCTTCAGGTTTATGTGGTGCTGGGGTGGAATCTGGGGCTATGGCAAGCCCTGCCTGCACTCTCCTGAGTGAGCCACTGCCCCAGCCTCCATTGCTCACTTTTGCCTGGCCTTCCACAACCACCTACCCTTCAATTTCTCTTCTTTCCATCTCCTTCCCTGAGCTCAGCCCGTACTCAGTCCCCAGAGCCCTCTGTTCCTGGTCAGTCAATCTGTTAGATGTCTCCATGGTGTGAGGTTCATCTCCTTCACTGACAAATCCCAGATTGACAATGAATCACTTGCTAATTGTTTCTCCCTCACCAATCCTCTGAAACAGGTTCTCCTGTGTACTCCCATCACTTAGCAGAGAGGCTGTGGTGCTTGTTAAATAAAAGGAGTAAATAAACGAATGTATGAATGGATGTATGCATCCACGAATGCACACATGAGCGAATGTGTAAGTGGACACATGAATTAATTAATGGAAACAAATGCATGAGTGGATACATAAATGAATGAGTGCATGAATGAGCTCATGAATGGATGAATGTGTTCATGAACAGATGTGTGCATTAATGGGACCAGAAATGGTAACTCCTTTCTCATCCTTTGTAAAAGAGAACAATGTAGTTTTCAGAAGAACTTAGGCACAGAGTCCTAGGACTCAGAGAAGAGCTTGGTGGCCAACTGATCACTCCTCAGCTGGTCTGGATTCAGGCTGGCCTGACCTTCTTGGAGTGGATCACACACCCAGATCAAATGTGATAAATGCCATGAGAGTTGAAATAATCTAGATGTCCAACAGGAGGGGATACGTCTGAAACATGCAGCAGGCACACAGTAAGTAGGTAGCAAAGGATATGTATTCCTCCTTTTCTATAACAGAACCCAGGCTGAACTCTTGATTTTTTAATTTTTTTGAGACTAAGTTTCCCTATGTAGGTCTGACTGGTCTGAATTTACTCTGTAGACCAGTCTGACCTGGAACTCACAGAGATCCCCCTGCCTCTGCCTCCCAAGTGCTGGGATCAATGGTGTGTGCCACCACCATATCCAGCTCCTAAGATGAACTCTTAATGGGGCTTCTGGAGGTGTGTGTGGCATTTTCTGGTTGCTGTTTCTTGAGAAAGGATCTCACATAAGCTCAGGCTGGGCTAACTTTGATATGTACCTTAGGATCATCTTATACTTCTGATCTGTCCCCAGGGATGACAGGCAATGCCTAGTTTATGCCAGGCTGGGATGCAACCCAGGACTTTATGCTAAATGAATACTCTACTGAGCTATGGCTCCAGCCTTGTCTTTGTGGTTTTGGTCTGAGGGTTTGTTTGTGTGTTTGTTTCTTTTTACATTTATTTCTTTATTTGTGTAATTAGGAAGGGAGAACATGAGTACCGTAGAATACGTCTAGAGGTCAGGAAAAAACCTAAGGGAGTCAGCTCTCTCTTTCCATCATGTGGGTTCCAATCATCAACCAAACTCAGGTCCTCAGGCTTGGCACCAAGTGCATTTACCTGCTGAGCCAGCTTACTGACCTGGATTTTGTTTTGTTCTGTTTGTGTTTGTTGTTTGTTTGTTTGTTTGTGTTTAAATAGGATTTCAATATTGGTCTGGAACTCACTATGTAGAGCAGACTCACTTTGACATTCTGGAGATCCTTCTGCTTCAGCATACTTAGTCCTGGTATTCAGGAGTACACCGGCTAGCCCAGCATGTGTTTAGGATTTAAACCATCTAGATTATTTCAACTCTCATGGCATTTATCACATTTGATCTGGGTGTGTGATCCACTCCAAAAAGGTCAGGCCAGCCTGAATCCAGACCAGCTGAGGAGTGATCAGTTGGCCACCAAGCTCTTCTCTGAGTCCTAGGACTCTGTGCCTAAGTTCTTCTGAAAACTACATTGTTCTCTTTTACAAAGGATGAGAAAGGAGTTACCATTTCTGGTCCCATTAATGCACACATCTGTTCATGCACACATTCATCCATTCATGAGCTCATTTAAATTTCATTTTGAAATTTGGTTCCAGTAGGCAAAAAAGTATCTCAACAATGGGATATACCACATTTTGTGCTATTTTAGAATGCAAATTTCTCTTAGATTTTGGTGTTGAGACAGGGTCTACCACATAATTTTGGCCTACCTAGAACTCACTATGCATATCAGAATGGCCTTGAACTCAAAGTGATCTTCCTGCCTCTGCCTAAGTGCCAGGATTACCAAGTCTGGCTCGAAGATGTAGTTTTAGCACCCTTAAAATTGGAATGCATCGTACAGTCAGACACATCTCAAAATTCACCTTTGACTTTTAAAAATAAAAAAATTAACATCTACTAAGGCCAGGCATAGTGGTGCACGCCTTTAATTCCAATACTCGGGAGGTGGAGGCAGGCAGATCTCTGTGAGTTCAAAGCCAGCCTGGTCTACATAGTGAGTTCCAGGCCAGCCAGGGCTATGTAGAGAGACTCTGGCTCAAAACAACAAGCAAACAAAAGAATAGCACCTGGCTCCTCAGTATTTACATAATCACTGAAATATGATCAAGCTTGGCATGGTGTCACCTGTCTGTGATCTCAGCACTTGAGAAGTTGATGCAGGAGGATTGTTATAAATTTGAAGCCAACCTAGTCTACATAGTGGATTTAGGGCCAGCCAGGGCTAAACAACAGGACAATCAATCAATCAATCAATCAGTCGGGGCCAACAAGGTAGCACTCAACAAGGTGGAGGTTTTCCCCACCGAGGCCAATAACCTGAGCCCAGTCCCTACAATCCACATGGTGGAAGGAGAAAATTGATCCTTAGAAGTTGTCCTCTGACCTCCACACACTCTCTGTGGTACACACACACACACACACACACACACACACACACACACACACATAGATAAATAAATAAATAGATGTGATAAATAAGTAAATAAATGTGGAGCTGGAGAGTTGGCTCAGCAGTTAAGAGCACTTACTACTCTTGCAATGGACAAAGGTTCGGCTCTCAGCGCTCTCAGCCAGGAGGCTCACAACTGCTTATCAGTGCAGATCCAGAGAATCTGACACCCTCTTCTGGCCTCTACAGGTACTGCATGCACATGGCGCACATACAAACACACAGGCACTCACACATACACATAAGAAAATATAAATAGGGTCTGGAGAGATGGCTCAGCAGTTAAGAACACTGGCTGCCCTTCCAGAGGACCCAGGTTCACTTACAAGCACCCACATGGCAGCTCACAACTGTCTGTAACTCCGGTTCACATAAGACATACATGCAAGCAAAACACAAATGTACATTAATAAATAAATTTTTTTAGAAAAAGAAAATATAAACGAACCTTAAAACAAACAGATATAAAAATAAAATCTAATAACATGGGTGTTTGTATAATAGACATAAAGTTTGTGAGTGGTTTTTCCTCTGAAGTCCATC